ATATATATATATTATTATTATAATTTATGTGTGTATATGTATATATATATATATATATGCATATACATATTTTATAATTATATAATCATTGGAATATATTTTAATGTAAGAATTATCTCTTAAGATTACTCTTATAGACCTTCATATGCAACATAAAAAACAGGCACTCACACATACATGCTAATTAATATGGCTAAGTAAGTACAGTCATGGCCGCTTCTTAAAATATATATATATATCGACGAGTCTTTATTGCGCGTTGGACACTTAAGCTAGGCGTAAACTAAATTACTTTGTACGTTGTTCTCGTTCGTGGCACGGACCTCGTCAGACGGGCGTTTCCGCATTAGTATCCTTCCTGCAACAGTGACAACTCGCGATTAGTTCCGATTCAATTGGACGCTATCAGAGAAAATTAGAGGCAATTGTTGCGGTTTGCAGGACGATTTGTAGATTTATTATATATCGTCACGCTCGCTTACCTCCTCGCTGATAATTTGACAGTCAGGGCAAGCACGGATCACAGAAAAGACATAGTTATGTTAGAGAACGTTCCAACGCCACCTTTTGTGCATACAGCAAGGAGAAATATGGGAAACCAAAGAAAACCAGAATGAATTAAAAAGAGTGTTACGAAATTGCGCTAAGACAAGAAACGCTGTAATTTAAGTATGTTAGTTTGCCGCCAACCTTTTTTTACGTACGCTGGATGTGACGTACTTGTATTGTCTTTTTGTAAATTGTTTTATATGTCAATGAACTCGCATCAACTTTTTGAATAATCGTTTATATAAAGGTTTCTATTTTTATCCAATGTGACTATGTTTTATTATTTCTATGACTTTGTGTTAATTTTGATTACAATTAAGCTTTCATTATGACTCCATTTTTAATTAATCAGATCGTTCTAAGTCACATTCACTCCATTTTAAAGTATAATCTCTCATGAATCTTTTTCCTGTTAATCTCTTTAAGATTCTACATATTGAAATAGTATTTTTTATGTCATTCTTAAAAGAAGATATTATATTTTCGATATATAGATGATATACATATATATAAAAAGAAAAAGGTCAATGAAAATAATTTAAAATGCTCTCTTTCTTTGTTATATTATTTTATATCTTTGATTCAGACATCAAATCCATCGTATATCAAAAGCTCATTTAAGTTTTTACTTTTCTATTTAAATTATTTAACAAGCCATCCGATATCCGAGTAAAAAATAAATATCCCAAATCTAAATATGATATGTACGTTTATTACTCACTCGGTCTCGGTAATAGTCTGCTCGTATTGCTGTTGTTGCTGCTGTTGCTGCCTGAGCGCCGCCAGTTCGTTACTGTGCTGTAGGTCATGGGTCAACGAACTCGATAGTATCCTGCCGCTCATCGGCAGGATATACTCGGGTCTATCCTCCAGAACGGTGGGGGTGCCCATCTTGCCGCGTTTCAGACTGCCGTATCTTTCAGAACCGCTGAGGTTGTCGTGCTGGGAGCCGTGCAGACTTTGACCACGTTTCAGGCTGCCGTAACGCTGTTCGGAACCACTCAGGTTTTCGTGATTCGAATTCTGTGAGTGATGGCTCATGCTAGAGGCAAGGATGCGTGACGACATGGACAGCATGTACGGTGTGGGTGACACTGTATGGTCTTCCTCGGCAGTATAAGGGAATAAATATTTTTCTCCCAGATGATGCATTTTCTCTTCACCTTCCGAGTAGTTCTCGTCCGGCTGGTTCTTCTGCGGTGAGTTAATCTCCGGATACGGCAGCGGGTTCGGACTCGAGGTCTTGTTCGAAGCTATCTCGTTATCTGACATGGTGCCACCAGACCATTGGCTACTTCGCACATCCATCACTGCAAAAGAAATGAACAGTGTTATTTTTAACTTTTCTCAAAAATCATATTACAATCCTTTATATTTATATAACTATGTGGTGCTACTATAAAATGAGAAATAATATTCTTTTGATCTTTTATAATAATTGAAATTTAATTTTATTATTTCTTAATTTCATATCTTTTTACAATCACTTATCTTTTTTATGATTCAAAAATTTTTTACGCATGTTTTTCTCTTTGTTCTTAATTTAAACTTGTAGTCACCAATCTTACCATTTGATGACAGATATGCTTCTGGCAGTTGGGAACTCCATCGAGGGGCGTAGATCGGTTTGATGTTGGGAAAAAGTTCAGCATTCGAACAAAGTATGTTCAAGTGTTCGGCAGGATTAGTATGAATATTGGGCAGATAGCTGTGAGTGACGTGCTGCTGTGTAGACACTCCCATATTTCTGTGCGACCTCGACGTGACGTCATCCTCGTCGGAACTATGCGAACTGGCAAGGTCCAGGCTTCTGCCGCCTCCTTCAGCTTGCGAGCCGTCGGAGTCTGATTCTGATTCTCTGCGCTGGCTCCTTATCTCCGTAGATTCTTTTAAAAACATTGTATAACATTAACTTAAGGACAAATAAGTGCAAAAGGTGATTTTCGATCAAAACGGGTCTTGATCGAAGATGACCTTTTATAAATGAATAATAATACAACTATATGTGAATTTTTACAATTTCCAATTCAAACAAACTGTGAGCCGATTGTATTTATCGGTCTTGAAACACAGTCTTAGATTGAAACTAGATTATGCAATATCATAAATTTAATTTTATTTATGTAATAAATTGACTTAAATAAATTAATTTTAATATATAGTTAAAAATTTTTTCATCCGCTGTTTTCAAAATCTGTACCTTGTCGAGAATGTAGTGCTGATCGATGACTCCTCGACGACAAGTACGGATCTCGATCGCTATTGTAATTACTTGTGGAGGTTGATGTATGTCTCAAATGCGTATCGCTACGATAAGGGCTTGAACCTGTTTTATTTGTACTTCTCGAAGTTGTACTGCTTGTAGAAACGCCAACGTGAACTCTTTTACATACGGATTCTGCTCCGTTATAAGTCGAGGAGTAAGCTAACGCTGAACGCTAAAACATAAACGTCAGTATTAATGCGTTCATGTTTAATTCATATATTTAAAGCAAGAGATCAATTTTAAATTACATACCGAATGGCCATTTACATTTTGACTGCTACTTCCGTTGCCCATACTACCTTCTAGCAAAGGCGTTTTTTTGCCAATACACCTTAATAGACTTTGATACAAATTTCTCCTAACTCTGCTATTGATGAAGCAGTAGCCGATTAGACTAAATGCCGCATGAATTACGATAGCAACACTCAGTAAATATGATAGCATCGGCGAATTTTCTGATGCATTGAGGACCGCCAAAGTCCATGTTGATCCTAGTAAAGGCAATGAGGCCACAGAGAGCCATAAAAGCGTTCGTAAATTTCCAAAACCCATGATGTGCTCCTTCAAAGTAAACGCTGCGCGGATGCACATTACGAGAATACAGAAGTTCACCAACACGGCAGCACAAACGGGACCTATGAGCGACCAAATCACAGTTTCATAGATGGACAACCAGCAGCTGGAAAATCAAATAAAAATTTATGTAATTAAAAATTCCATTTAAAAGTTCAAAATTATGTTTTATTATATAAAAATTGTATTCTATTGTATTATAATAATTATATTTTAGTAATTTTAACAAGTCGCGAATGGATATGTTATTACAATACCACAATTATATCGCCATACCAGAATTATATCATCTCCATTTTAGTTTTAATTTTAATCTTCAATTTTATCTTTATAAAGATAT